GTCTGAAATCAACACGAAATTCGATTAAGACAAGTACAAAGTAGTTTACTCGGGGAGGAAAAATAAAATGCACAACTACAAAATTGAGAATAATTGGCTGGGCAGTAGTACTGCTGACAAGGATCTGGGGGTATAGTGGATCACAAATTGACTATGAGCCACCAATGTGATGCAGCTATGAAACAAGGCTAATATTGTGGGGTGTATTAGCAGGAGTCTCGTATGTAAGACGCAGGAGGTAACTGTCTTGCTTTTACTGACACTGGTGAGGCCTCAGCTGGAGTACTGTGTCCAGTTCCAGTTGCTACACTTTACGAAAGATGTGGACAAATTGGAGAGTCCACAGGAGAGCTACAAAGATTAGGTCAGGTTTTCTAAACCTTTTATGTAAGGAAAGGTTAGGAAACTAGGCATGTTTAGCCTTGAGAAAAGACTACTGAGGGAGGGACTGGAAAGTCTTCAAATTGTTAAGAGCTATTATAAAGAAGGAGAGTGATCAATTGTTCTCCATATCCACTGAAGGTAGGACAATAAGTAACAGGCTTTATCAGCAGCATGGGAGATTTAGGGTATGTCTTCATTACCCACGTTAAAACGCTGCCATGACTCTGTGCTCCAGTGCTGGGAGAGAGCTCTCTCAGCGTTGTAAAAAACTGCCCCCAGGAGGGGAGTGGCTCCCAGCGCTGTAGCACTGTCTACACTGCCACTTTACAGCGCTGAAACTTGCATCGCTCAGCGGTGTGTTTTTTCACACCCGTGAGCGAGAAAGTTTCAGCTCTGTAAAGTGGCAGTGTAAACAAGGCCCTAGGTTAGATATTAGGAAAAACTTTCTAACTATAAGGGTACTTAAGCTCCGGAATAGGCTTCCAAGAGAAGTTGTGGAATACCTCAGCATTGGAGATTTTTAAGAACATGTTAGACAAACACCTGTCAAAAATAGTCTAGGTATATTTGGCTCTGCCTCAGCACAGAGGGATGGGCTAGATGACTTCTCTAGGTCTCTTACAGCGCTACAGTTATTTGATTCTATAATCTTTAATGCCAAAGCTATTTGTTGATCTCTTTAGCACAAAAAGTGTTGGATATTAAATGAAGAAAATGTGTGTTTGAAATTAAAGACCATCCATGATTTTAAGAAAATATTTCCAGTAGAACTAAATAAATGTCCCAGAATAAAGTAGATAGATATTTTAATAGAAAACAGTTATGTAATCATTAATATAACATGATGCTAGTTACTGTACATGCACATCAGGGCCTGATAACTGGTGTATCTGAGCATTAGTGAACTATAAATAAACTATATTAAATAATTTAATTACTCAACTTTTCATAGTTTGAATTACAGATTTCTATGTAAAATAGTATTTTATCCAGTATCTGTCCCACATTATGTGCATTAGGTTGAAGAACATCTCAGTCCTGACCATAAAAGGCTTTAACACTCCAAATTATTGACTAGGCCTTCAAAGAACCCCACCACATAAAGCATGGGGATCAAACTCATTCAGAAGAGAGGTCTGAATTCCATTTTTTATTATGGTCAAAGGGTGGGCGTAGAAATGTAGGACTCTCTGCTACTTTAAATCGGCAGCATAACTCCCAGTTATGTCAATAGATTTGCACACAGATCATGAATAAAACTGTTTTTGTAGTCACTGAACTTTTAATTAGAGTTCCTTGCCATCAATTCAGTATCACTAATAATATCACTGTTTTAACTAGCAATTTTACTTGACTTATGGATCAATTGTTCACATTAATTCATCTACCCAAACTTAGTCAATGGAAAAATAAGGCAACCACTGTATCTGCTTTTTGTTTCTCTTCCTTCCCCATTCTCTTTTCTTGATTTCTCTTCTCTTTCCTGTGTTTATGTGCATCTTCTATTCTTCCCTCTGGATTTCTTTCACTACAGTAACTCCCAATTCCCACCCACCTTCTGTGGACTTCATTCCCATGCCCTTCCTCCATGTATCCCACTGAAATGATCAATAATGAAAGTTATTTTTGATGTTAGTATCATCATTGGTCTTTAGAACTGATAGCCTAATGAGATTAATAAAGGGTGAGGGAATTCAGCCTTAAGAGTTAGTTTCAGGTTGTCTGCAGACTCAGGAAGACAACACTGCATTGATTTTTATTTGATTCACAGTTGGAAAATTACCTGCGTAATCGAAAGCTAAAAACTTATTTTTTCTTTAAAAAGCCTGGATTCTACAGTATTAATGTGTCATGCAGGCCACACATTTTTCAACCAGACACAAACTGTTCAATTTATTAAGGACACTATCCTGCACCAGTTGAAGTCAATGGAAGTTTTGGCATTAATACAGTAAGCCTAAAATAGTTCACTATAAAAAGTGTAACCTGTGAAAACTGCTATTAGTCTTATTAATAGAAAGAAGATAAACATTCACATCTGATGCTCTAGTTTTACTAACATTTCAAGATATTTGACTATATAAATCCCCTTGTTTGCCAAAATGGAGAAGCAGTTTTTAATTTTGTTTCCAGTTTTTAAACAGACTATTCACCTCTCTTTTATAGAGGGCTTAAAAAAAACCTCACTTGCTAAGAATGATTAGATATCTTTTCCAGGTAAATCCTATCAACTTTGCAGAATTTAAGTTTTCATGTAAGAAAAATATTAAGTGTCTGGCCATATGGTTAAAATTACCTTCGCATTTAACCAATTAATTGCTGTATTAAGCCTACACTATGATGGATCCAATCCTCTCCTGATGCTAAGAGCCTTAACAAGCTACAATACAGTGAAAAAGTTCTTGCCAGTTTTCACAGCTACAATCCAGAATCCTATGTGCAGCAGTGAAATTAACAAGAACTGAGTTAACATCATTTTGATACCCTTGCTTGTGGAAAGCTCTGAACAGCAAGAGGGCAGGCACTGATTCTACTCCCTAGAAAGGAGGACAAACTGAAGCTAGAAAAGTGAGAAAGCAGTATATAAACAATCTCCTCTCACATTAGCCAGGGACTCTGGGATGGAAATCTTGGGAAAGGGAGTGAAAGAACACTCCTTTCTTCCAGGACCCAGAAATATTGGCGAAACCTCATGCTTATAGAAACTAATTAGGCTTCAGGTTGATATAAATGATGGAATCCCATCATAGTCCAGGAACAACAGGTTTTCTCCTCCCCCCAGCAGTTTAGGTGAAGTATGGGGAAATATCTGGCTTCTCATCTGGGCTTTGCTCCAGATAATGCTCCTCAACTTTCATCTGGGACTTTGGCTAGAAGGCTTAGCCCTCTGGTACTAAGTATCTGGTAAGACTTCAAAGACCCACATGAATTGTGGCAGGGGAAAAGGGAGAAGATGGGATAAACTAGAGAAATACAATATGGAGAGACTTAAAATATAAGGTAGAGAACACGAGTGGAAATACATGGGGTGAAAGAGAAAAGACACTGAATAAGATAATGCAGGACAAGTGATATCTTTACATGCTATTATTGGAAAAGACATGGAGTGAGCAAGGAAAGGGAAAGGTATAACAAAAGCAAGAGATATATAATTAACTTTTTTAAGCTTTAATAAATAAGAATTTGATTAGCATGGTTTAAATACAGTTTAACAAGTATTTTTATTTAAATTGCAGGAGTCGTGGCTTTGAGAGAGCATTAGCCATACAAGTATATAATCAGAAAGCTGCACTGGAGTTACAAATCAGTTTAAAAACAATTTTGTTAAACCAGAGCAAAACCCTGTGCAGACAATCTTATTTTGATTTAAAAGCAGGTTATTTTGGTTTAGCTTAAATCTATAAAGAATCTACTTCACCCAAATCAATATGAGCCATTCAAACTGAAATAAAACTGTACATAAGGGGTTTTGCTCTGGTTTAAATACACTGACTTAATATCATTGGTTAAACCAGTACAAGTTTGCATGCAGATAAAGCCACAGTCCTCAGAAAAATGGTCACTGGGTAAATTTTTCAATTCTTCTTCTTTTATATTTAGACAACGGAGCCCTGAACCTAATAAGGTTATAGAAGTAACGGATAGTCCAGATAGTTAGGGGTACTAGCCTGGGACTCAGGAGACCTGGGTTTAATTCCCTACTCTACCACAGACTTTCTACAAGGTCTTGGACAAGTCATTCTCTGAGAGTCAATCCTCATCTGTAAAATGGGATAACAGCACTTCACCTCCTTCTATCCCATAAGGGTGTTTGAAGATAAACAGATTGTACTCAGATACTGCAGTAACACAGGCTGTACATGTACCTAAGCTAAAGAGCATCAGCAATGCAGTTTTTAATAAAAGTTAACTTAAAACTCCACAGTTTCTCTCCGTTATAGGATAATCATGCTCAGCATAACTGGCGCCTCGTGGTGCTGGTGCTATACATGTCACGGAGTTTACAGTCCATTGAGTTTACTCATTATATATTCCAACAGCTGCACACAAAGAAACTACAGATCAGGAGTGCTCCCTATAAAGTTGTGTAACCGGTGAAAACTACGTTCAACCGGATAGTTAAGACTTCTATTCAGTGTGGCTTTGGTCAGGCTGAAGCGGAGAGACCGGCACCGGGGTGGGACTGGCGAAGCCAGCACCGCCTGGGGAGCGGAGCGGGATGCTCCGGGGCTAGCCAACGCTGCAGAGTAACGTCACCAGCCCGCTGGTCGGTCAACCGGGCCCGCTGAACCCCAGCCCGCCTGGGGCCGGGATCCCGCTCCCACCCCCCAAAGGAGCGGCTGGCCCTTTGTTACCGCTCCCGGACTACCTGGGGCGCTTCGCCGGCTACGCCAGCCCCGAGGCCCCGCGGGCCGGGCCGCCCCTTCCTGGAGCGCGTCCCCAGACCCCCGGCTCCCTCAGCTCCTCGGGCCGGGCCGCCCCTTCCTGGAGCGCGTCCCCAGACCCCCCGGCTCCCTCAGCTCCTCGGGCCGGGCCGCCTCTTCCGGGAGCGCTTCCCCAGAGTCCCCCGCCCCGGCCGCCCCTCAGCTCCCCAGTCCCCGCGGGCCGGGCCGCACCTTCTTGTAGTGCTTCCCCAGCCAGACCCGCACCGCGTCCAGCTGGGACACCGTCTCCGGGCTCTCCCAGAACTTGCCCGTGGGGCCGCCGTCCTTCCGCCGCGATACGGACAGTGCCGCCAGCCCCGCCGCCGCCCCGGGGCCGGGGCCGCCACCTGCAGTCACTGCCGCTGCCATTGTTACCCTCGCCGAGCGCCGCCACCGCGGGCCTGCGCCTCCCACTCGCCTCCCTCCGCGCATGCGCCGAGCCCCGTACGCTCCGCCCCTTGGAGCATGCTCGGGAATACCGCTCCCTGCCCCCGCCACTGCCGTGCACGCGCCGGTTCCCCACCCCCCCGCGCCGCCACCGCCTGTGCGTCGGCCCCCTGGACCGCGCGCCACGCACGCTCCAGAAGCCTGCTATCTCTGCGCATGCGCTAGTTTCCCACTCTCCCCCTCCCTCTGTGTACACTCGCTTGTGAGATCCAGTCTAACCTTTAACGCATGCCCCTCCCCCAACCCTGCTGTGCACGCATGCGTCAAACCTCAACCGCCCCGCACGGGTCGCACGATGCCTGTACGCATGCGCCCGCTAATCGAAGCCGCTCATGGCGCGCTTTGCGCATGTGCCATTTGGACACTGATGGGGAGGGGGCTTGAGCTTCGGTTGCTGAGATTCCCAGCCTCGTTCTCGCTCAGACGCTGTCGGGCCATGCAGTGTCATACAGCACGCGCCGTGGGCGGGAACGGGGGGCTTGTCCGGGCAGCCTGAAACCGGCAGTTTCCCGCCTCGCGAGTGCGCGCGACGCCCGCCTGGCGCTTTGGGCGAGCGCGGTGTCTCGCTTAGCCAAGCCGGGGAGCCAGACGCTGGGTCCCGCGCTCCTCAGAGGTCGCCCGCGCGGGCCAGCCACGGCGTCGGCTCCGCCCGCGGGCCGCTGCCTCCTGTGCTGAGGGGACTGGTAGCAGTATAAGGTTGTTATCCCGGGGGGGACCACGCCCTGCCTGGGGGTCGAGGCATAGCTGGGTGCCAGGGTGACCCGATGTCCCGTTTTTATAGGGGCAGTCCTGATATTTGGGGCTTTGCCTTATATAGGTGCCTCTTACCCCCCATCCCCTACTGGGTGCTGACACTCAGGAGCCGTAGTTCTGGCCCTAGAGGGGAGTGGAGGGGGCCCACTGGTCACAGACTCATCTGCCCATCACTATCCCTGTCCTGCCCCTTCCATCCCCTGGCTTCATCCCCTAATCCCAGTCCCTTTGCCCAGCCAGGCCTAATCATCCCTGCTCCAGCTCTTGAGTCCTCTTTCCCTCTCCCTGTATCCCCTCCCAGTTCCCCCCTCCTGGCTGCTCATCTGGTCTCTCTCCCCCCCACTTCTGGCTCCAAGGCTCATAGACTTTAAGGCAGTGGTGCCCAAACTATGGGGCATGCCCCCCTAGGGGGTACCAAGGAACGTGGGAGGGGGCGCAGCAGGGGGCAGGGAGGGAGTGCCACCCAGCCCTGCTCTGCCCCCAGCTCCACTCCGGCCCTGCTCCTGGCCTCAGCCCCTGGCTGTGGTCCCAGCTGCAGTGCTTGCCATGTTCCTGGCCACAGCTCAAGGGGGTTGCGGACTGGGTAAGGGGAGGGGGAGCGTGACCAAAAAGTTTGGGGACCACTGCTTTAAGGTCAGATGGGACCATTGTGATCATCAAGTCTGACCCCCTCCTGTACATTGCAGGCCACTGAATCTCAGCCACCCACTCCTGTAATATACCCCTAACTTCTGGCTGAGTTATTGAAATCCTTAAATCATGGTTTAAAGACTTCAAGTTACAGAGAATCTGTCAGTTAAGCTAGTTTAAACCTGCCTGTGACCTATGCACCATGCTGCAGAGGAAGGCAAAAAACACCAGGGTCTCTGCCAATCTGATCCAGGGAAAAATTCCTTCCTTTCTGACCCCAAATATGGTGATCAGTTTGCCCTGAGCATGTGGGTAAGACCCACCAGGTAGCTATCGGGGAAAGAATTCGCTGTAGAACTCAGGGCTTGTCTCTACTTACGGCTAAATCAGCACTGCTGTGATCGATGCAGTGGTGTGGAGTTAGCGGGTTTGGTGAAGACAAGCTAAGTCGATGGCAGAGCACTCTCCCCTCGACTTCTGTGCTCCACCTCCCCGAGAGGCGGAAGGTAAGTTGTCAGCAGAGCATCTCCTGTCGACATAGTGCGGTGTAGACAACGCTGTAAATTGACTTAAATTACATCGACTTCAGTTACATAACTGAAGTAGTGTAACTTAGGTCGATTTACAGCTTTAGTGTAGACCAGCCCTCAGAACCTTTCCCATCTAGAGTCCAGTCTCATTCCTAGTCCCCCTCTCTAGGCTCCTCAAGCTGCTGGGGAGCTGAGCCCAGCCTTTCATACTGACCCATTTTGTTTCCTTGTATTCTTTCATCAGCTTCTCTTTATCCCTGTCTTGGCTTAGATTGTAAATTCCTCTGGAGCAGGGACTGTCTTTTTGTACAGCACCTAGCACAGTGGGGTCTTGGTCCATGACTATGGCACCTAAGCACTACAGTAATACAAATAATAGTTATCCAGTTTCAGTCTCCTTACACACTGCTTCCCTGGCTCTTTGCCCAGCCAGTCCCAGTCTCCCTCTAGTTCCTTGTCCAATCTGTTTTAGTGTTTCCCCACAGCCAACTGGCTCCCTCTATTTCACCTACTGGCTTCAAGTCCTAGGCTCCCTCCCCTAATGCTAGGCACAGTCTTTCTAGTTTCTCTTTTCCCCACTTCCAGTCCGAGTCTGACCAGACTCTTTATCCCAATCTAGTCCTTTCTCTCTCCTGGCTTTTGTTCCCTCTGCATTTAAGTCAGATGGCTGCCTGGGTGCCATGAAAGGATCATGTAGTCACAGCGCACAGAACAGACAGGCTCCCTGCTCTCAGTTCTCATGCCCGGATCCATCACCACTGGGAGCAGCTACTGAGGAAAAGACTGGCTTCACCTCTGTAGCCCTGGGCTGGAGGGAACATACTTGATCAGTCTGAAGGGATTGCTTATGTGAAGCCAGTCACACCAGGAGCACCGAGAGACTCAGGCATGCTCTGTGAGGATGGAATCTTTGGAGATTTTAGCTGTTACATATCAAAGATACTTCTACTGAGAATGTGTGAACTGTGAGTTATCAAAGACTTAACTTGCCCATGTATGGGTGGATTTTCACCCCAATGGCAAAAGGAACATCCATGCCCCAAAGGCAACTCTCCTATCAAATTTCAAGTACCTGTTCCAAAACAGTGAGTGCTACAGTTGTTCAAAAAGGATCAACAAAACGGGTTAATTTATTTTAAAAGTCCCACCCGCATACTCCAGAATTCCCCAGTACATTCCAAATCATATTTTAAATTGTTCAAGTCCCAACAGTCCATCAGCACACCAAGACAGCTCTGGCATCTCTCACCACAATCCATTTCTCTGGGATAGGTCTGGCATCTCTCATTGCACCTCACCCCAGCCCCTCTAGCTGGACTGTTTCTCTGCTTAATTTTCAGTTTTGGAGACATCAGTGGGCTCACTTCTACATCAGCCTTCATCCTTCTCTGGTCCTCTAGCTTCAGCTCTCCACCTTGGAGAGCCTTCAGCTCTCTCCATCCACCAGTCTCTGGTCAAGAGAAATTTGTAGGTGACTCTGGCTGCCTGATCTGGCTCCACTCGGAAACTCTCATCACTTCCTTCACGGCCATCCCCTCCCTGAAGCCCTCAGCATAGTTTTCTGTTCTTGGGAACTCCCTCTCTGGGCTCAGAGTTCTAAACTCTCTTTCAGGGCATCTCCTCCATGAGGAAACTAGACAGTGGCTTGTGGACTCTCTTGCCTTTAGGGTGTTTCTCATTTGTAACTCTGAGGGATAACACCCCCCTTCTCATTACACCACACTAAGACACATCTGGATTGGAACAGGAATGGTAAGCCTGATTTAACTTAAGGGGCCAGCTATCCTGTTACATTTACATCACCTTAGAGTAAAACTTGCTGTCCAACGACAAGCTCTGGCTAGTGCAGAAGATGTCCATTCACCTCTGAGTGGTGCAAACAAGTATGAACATAATGTGGGTGTCAATTCTATACTTGATTCTCCATTTGTTTCTGATGTCAGTCAAGGTGTCCATTATGCTAGAAAGCCATGAATGATCTGGGATCCAGTTCCCTGAAAGATGTTTCTCATCTATAGGCTGCTGAAGGTCTAGTTTCTGGATCCTCCCCATTTGAACACTCTGGGCCCAATTCTCTTGTGATATGGCCCTTTGCATGGCTCAATGGGGCTGTAATTTCAGTTTAACCAGCTACCTGTTAATTTTCCTATCATAAAGGGGAATCCACTGATGATATAGAACCAGCACAACAGTTCTATGCACCCCACCCCCAACCACCATCATTGGGGAAAAAAGGCCAGAGTTCATCTTCACTCTTGCTCTTCCCAGCTGCAACAACAGATGCTGCTCTGATTTGCACAGAGGGCTGATCTGGCCCAATATATGCAAAAACAGCAAAAACTCCATTAGCCTCTCCCACTATTCCTGTGCCAGAGTTTGCCTCCCCATTGAGGGCAGGTCTTTCTTAGCGACAGGCTCCTTGTGTGTGGAACCAGTTCTCCATAACAGTCTGTCAGGTACTCCTGGGGGAATTCTGCGCCAAAAATTTAAAAATTCGGCACACTGTTTTAAAATTCTGCACATTTTTTGTCAAAATAACACTATATAATTATTCCAGTTTCAATAATTTTGGTAATTTATTTCAAAATACCTGTCAGCAACTATGTCTGTAACAATACATACACACACAAAAACTCCCCCGGAAGTAGAGAGTTAAAGAAATCCCTACAGCAACCCAGTTCCTGTTTCTCTGCCCCTCCCCTTCAGAGCCCAGCCAGGGGGCCAAACACTCACACCCCCTCTGCCCCAGAGCCCAGCCATGGGCCCCCCCAGCCCAGACACTCTCACCACCCCCTCCAGAGCCCAGCCGCAGTCCCCCCATCCCAGACACTTACATCCCCTACCCCCCCAGATGCCAGCCACGGCCCTGACACTCATACCTCTGCCCCCCAGAGCTCCGGGATCTAGAGGGAGAAACAGCCTGATGCTGGATCTCCAGCTTGCACGGAGATTCCTAGCTGCCGCCGCCTCCTTCCTTCAGGGTGCGCTGGGAACTGCAGCTGCTGGGAACCCTCTAGTTCCCTCCCCTCTCCTAGGCCTTGTCTTCTATTTGTGAGCTGGGCTCTGCTGGGTCCAGCGGTCCCTAGTGGCAGCCAACATCTCTGCAGCCCATTTCTGGGGGGAGGGGAAAGGAAATTCTATGCGCACAACATTAATTTTTGCAGCATTTTTCTTCTGCATAGTAAAGTTTTAAAGCTGTATTAAGTCACTGTTCAGTTGTAAACTTTAGGAAGAACAACCATAAAGTTTTGTTCAGTTACAAACATTTCAGCGTTACGAACAATCTCCATTCCCAAGGTGTTTGTAAATCTGAGGTTCTACTGTACCCTGCTGTTCGAATAGTAGCAGAGGGGAAGCGACTATTGTCCCCAGCACATGCTATTTCCTCTGCTGTGGCTGCCTAAGCACAGCTGTAGGAGTTCAGTAGGTGACATTCATGGGTGGCGGGTATAATAGGCCAGGGGAGGCTAAGCTGCTGCCGACTCGCCAGTGGGCCGAGGTGGCCATGCCTGTTCCCTCCCTGCTTCGCCCCTTCCCCAAGGCCCCCACTGCCTGCTGTTGCTGCTGCCTGGTGTTTCTTCCTCCTCTCCATCCCTTCCCCTCTGGAAGTCCTGGAGGGGGTGGGCAGGAGAATCTCACGGCAGGTGGGCGTGGGGGGGGGTGTCTGGCAGGGGCGGGAGGAGGTGGGCGAGGGCCTCACGGTGGGTGATGGGGTCTGGTGGGTGGGAAGAGGTGGGGGGGCGGGTCTCAGGGTGCGTGGTGGGGTCTGGCAGAAGAGTGAGGTGGTGAGTGGCGGCAGGTGGCGGGGTCTGGCGGGGGGTTAGGTGAGTGGCGGACAGGCAGGGGGTCTGGCAGGGGGTGAGGAGGCAGACTGGCTGGGGTGGGAGTCTTGCAGCGGGCAGGGGGTATGGAGGAGGCGGGAAGGTGGGGGTGGTCTGGCGGGGGTCTGAGGAGTTGGATGGAGGAGTGAGGAAGCTAGCGATAGGCAGACAGGTAGTCTGGCAGGGGGTGAGGGGGCGGGTGGGGGGGTCTGGTGGAGGAGTGAGGAGGCGAGTGACAGGCAGGCAGGGAGATTTGGTGGGGGGTGTCTGGCAGGGAAGCGAGGAGGTGAGTGGTGGGGGGGTGAGGAAGTGAGTGAGCGGGGGGTGAGCAGGGAATCTCTTGACAGCTGGAGGGGTGAGGAGGGAAGTGGGGAGCAGTGGGGGGAGGCTGGGGGCCAGGGGCAAAGAGTTGGGACGGAGCAAACCTCCCCACCCATGGTGACATTTATGGACAACGATGATACCTTGTAGAAGAAAAATAGAATTAACTGAGGATCTTTCATCAGAGGGTGATTTTCTCCACAACAAGCACTGAGCAGAGGGCCTGATATATTTCTATTCACTTAAAAGTATGAGACTCTTGGCCTTTTCAGACTATGAGAGAGTTCTTTGCTGCTAAGGTTAGTTTTCTAAGATAGGTTGAAGTAGGGTTGCACAGTGCTTTGAAAAAGGAAAGTGCTGTAAAAGTGCTAATTATTTCACAAAAAGAAGAACAGGAGTACTTGTGGCACCTTAGAGACTAACAAATTTATTAGAGCATAAGCTTTCGTG